ATATGTGTCAAGTCACAAGTTAGAAGAAGATTTTGTAGGCTACAATAGATCTTTTACATGTATATGCGCAAAGAAAAGTATTAAGCACTCTTGAATATTTAACAATAACTGGTTATACAAGTGTCGACACGAAACCCTGATAATATCACCACGGAAAAATGAATGTGATTTGCAAGATACCATATGACAATTAGAAAAGACCAAAAGTTGATGTGTTTCAACATAACGACAGTTTTAATTTTTCTATTTTGTATAAAATCAAAGATGGCTATCCCAGTGAGGGCGTATAAAGTGACAATACAGTTGAATAAAGGTGTTATAATTGCATTATGAATTTCTTATTAACATAAAGTTAAGGATGCATTATTCAATAGCTCTTTCGTTTGGCTTCAAATGTTATATAAATCATTAATTAGATATTTATTTACATGCCAGGCCCATAATCAAATCTCTAGAACTTCGGATTGTTTTGATTATCAACAGATTTAAATACGATTGGCTGTTAAAGATTTAATTTAAGATGGATAACCGAGACTTCTTTTTTATTATTGTAACTACGGGGGCAATTCGAGACTACACTGTTCTGCAAAAGACGATAACCCTGCCCAGAATGGAGTAATTTGACTGAAATATTCAACATTCCCTTTTCGTTATCTATTTGTAACTATTATTGCGAGAACTGTCAACTCTTTATCTAAATCTGACATAATACATCTTTAAGTCTTAACTTTTATTTGTTCCGTTTCTAACTAAATTAAAAGAGTTAATTTGAACTTCAATCAATAGCTGATTACTACCTAATCCGACTGAAATCACCGCCACGAGTGTAATATTTTATAATAAGGATGAGAATGGAAATTATGTGAAAGACCCAATCGGTTTAAAGCATAGATATGGTGTATTACTTTGGATTTACTATATTATGGACTAAATCCCTTATAATACTATCTTGGATCAAGTAGCGTGGTTTCGATCCCACACTAGTACTTGACAAGGAGTACTGTCCTGCCTAACCTCGTCCTGCGCTTTCCTCTCACTACTAATGGTCCCTACTCGCATAGGAATTATTGAAATAAAATTGTACAATATCTTGCTCCAGAAATGCCTCACCCAGCCCCTCACTGATAAGTGGATGATTACAAATTCCCTTAGATCTAAAAGAGATTCGACAATAATGACCTATTTGTTGTTCCGTTCTTTGTTTTCTGTCCTACATTTTGTTGCTAGTTTAAGTTCACTCACAATCCTGCTAAGAAGAGAATCAATTCTAGACGAAAGTTACTCTTTCATTGTTTTATAGAAATCACTACAGGTGATTGCTTTTTATTGATCGATTATCAATATTTTATTAACATGAATATCGATTATCAATCAGTTATTGTGAACATTGTTGGCTCATGAATTATACAAAATATGTAGTTAATAACAAATAACATATTTACGTCAAAGCGTCAAACTTTTACCATAGCCTTTAACGGCAACTTGAAACTTGACTCAAACTTGTTTATCTTTAATATTTATATTAATTAATGTATTGTCGTAGCTATCTAAGTAATGTACAGGTATACATACATGTAGTATTATTACTCGCATTAGAAATACAAACATATACAAAAGAAATGAAGTGGGGTTTAACGTCCTACAGCTCTGCTGTGTGCTATGTGGGAAACTTTACCCGGACAGCGGCGCTAAAGCTTACTCTTATTTCCGATTCTGTCAAGGGTTCGTTTATGTGCATACCAACGTGCACTCGGACCTCAGTTTTTCGTACCATCCGAACGACTATGCACTGTTCCTTGCCAGGGGGACACAATGCCGGAAAACACCCAGGAACATTCTGGGTAGCGAGTCAGTGCCTTACTCACTGAGTCACCGTTCTCGGTCAATACCGACATTGAACCAAGAATACCTGGTTAGCGAGCCTGCGCCTTACTCGTTGAGCTGCCTTGATTCCCACATACAGTAAGCTTACAGGTCCCGTGTTCAATCCCTACGTTGGCCGAGAAAGTTCATTGGGATTTTCCGATGTGGTTCCTTCTTATCACCGGTGCAGCACCGAGGGTCTGACAAGGGACAACGTATAGTTGTTCGGATGGTATGAAAAACCGAAATCCCGTGTACACATTGGTGTGCACGTTAAAGATCCCTTGGCAGTTGAAATTCGAAATATATAGGGTAGGCTGTAGCTCCGCTGTCCGGGCAAACTTTCCCTCATAGCACTGTAGGTCGTATGCCCATCTTCATTAGCCCAGTCGGAGCAGAACAGTAGGACGTTAAACCCCATTTCATTTCATTTTATTTCCCACATACAAAACGTGTGCCAAACGCAATCCATAGATTGAAGAAGTTTAGTCGAATTTCAGGTAATTCAGTGACTTCAGCATCAGAACCACGTCTTGGTCTCTCTAATCCGCAAAATACTTAGTTAATAGTGAATCATGCAACCCTTATATAATACCCTTTCAACACTGGTGACAACGCCTTTTATATTATCAATAATAACAACTCATCCCACATAAACATAATGTTGTATTCATGTTTTCATGAGCACTTTATGTTTTTAACTGAAATCTTATCCATAATATTGTGTGGTGTTCGATTGAATAAATTAATTGATATATCAAGTCTGAAATTATTATATCATTTGGCACGTATACGGTGTATTATGTAAAAAGGATTCAACTATAAATATATTTTTTTTTTTAAAATAATGTCATACCTTGCTTTAGCGATATTCTAGACATCGTTATTTTATAGTCTTTTAATTACAACATATTAGTTTACAATGCACCTTATGTTTCAAAAGAAATACAATCTAGGTATAAATTACGCATATTTTATGAGTTAATAAAATGTCTATTAAATTACTGACATGATTAATGAACGAGAAAGGGTGTGGACACTTCATATTGTGATGTAGATTATATTATTAATATCGAACTTATTGTAGGTAAGTATTGTTGGGCTAGTATCCACCCAAAAATGTGGGTGTAAATGACTTAACCAGGGCGAAATTTTTATCTTATATTAGGCTACTGCTAAATACAATCTATACACATAGTCTCCTATGCTTTCTCTTTCAATAAACAACCTAAATACCACTGTATTTATACTCCGCTAGCGATCTTTGCCCCCGGGGTATTCTCTACCCAGCAGCCATCCGCTTTTTTTTTAAATCTACCTGCAGATCTTTATTTCAGATGCCTATAAAACGTATAAGTGTTGTAATTTTGTGTAAACGCCTCAAATGAGAAATAACTGATGTCTGATAATTTGTTTCAATGGCAGTTAGTAATTGAACTATACAGGTCACAATTCTATGGAATCCAATTACTGTTTATTACTGAGCGACGTTTCGACTAGGCTTCTCTAGTCGTTAACAAGTCAGTCGAAACGTCGCTCAGTAATTAGCAGTAATTGTATTCCATAGAATTGTGACCTGTATACTCAAATGAGAAGTGGTATCATGTGTTCCAGAAAGAGTCAGCCTACCCTATAGAAAAGGAATTCATTTCTTAAATCAACAACGTTGTTTGGCGTTGTTCGAGTTTTATTTTATTTTTTGTATCCTCCGAGTTCATGAAGTTGACGATTTTTGTACATTCACCCGTTTTTTTCTAGCAATCTGAAATTACCCAAATTCAGATGAGATTGTTTAAGATCTCTGCTGACAGATGTTGCTGACTGTTCAAATATCGTCGAAAATCTTATTTGGTTTACACTTGTAGACATCTTTACAAACTTAACTTTGTTTTGTTAAATATGTTAGCCGTCATTCTTATTTGGATACAAACAATTTCTCTACTTGCATTTAACAACATTCAGAGAAACAAAAAGGCCATAAATGTCATCTATCCATTCCGGTGTGTTTACGGTATCTTTAAGGAAATGATAGATAGGCCTGTCAGTGTTCCATAAAATCAACAAACTTACAAAGTAGCAGAAGCCTTTAAAACGAAACCTATGATGTGGAATAATGTGATATTCGTCAAGTTTTGTTTAATAATACTATTAGAATTTAGCTAAGACATACCCTAATTACTTAATAACAAATGCCTTTACATAGCGTCTTAATTGTATGGGATATAGCCATAAAGTTCAAAATCAAAACGGTCGGTTTTAAATCTCTTTAAAAAGTAAAAAAAGTACATTTTAAATATTTTAAAAATATTTATTTTAAAATATTGTGAATTACCCCTCTGAGTTCCATAATTGGAAGTAAAGGAACCAGGACACATGTTTGACTTTTGATATGGACAAACAATCTGGCTTGTTGGGTCCTTAAATTATATTCCGTAGTACATTGGTGAGAAAAATGTCGGGTCGCATTTATTCTTCATTTGACACACACAAACACAAAGGACATTTATACGATAACAAATGTGTCGTTGATAATCTTCCTGGTGTATTAAAGATACATTATGTAAAATTCAGATAAAGAGCTGGTCGTTCTTGCTATAATAGTTCAAAAATAGATAATGAAAAATGAATATATTGAAAATTTCATTCAAATTACTGAATAATTTATCTTTAAGAATTACTGTTACATGTATACAGTAGAGCTGTACAGGAACCAGGAAAATAAAATGATTTTAACACACCTATGCATTCATACATTATATCCTATCCTGTTTTATAATTTTATAACACCTAGGTTAATTGCAAGAAATGTTTTGTATTTTGGATTTATAATGTACGACGTAGCTATTATAATTATATTTGACAACGATGGTAAGATATGATTAGCAAATTTCACAACATGTTACTGAAATACAGATACATGAGCAAATTGGATATAGTTTTCAGCATTACCATACATTAATACTTGAATACCAATATTGATACCATGTATAAATATAGCCAACGTAGAGTTTAACACGAAGAACGTTATACATTGTCCAACATCGATCTATATTGAAGAATAAGTCGCCCAGTGTCTATACATATCACTGACACTTCTAGACATAACAAAAAAAAAACACATCTGGCAGTCAACTTACCTTGAAATAGACATCCCAAAACCACCAAACGGCTAATTTCTCCCGCCATGTCTGTCGTCTGGGTAAAATTCAGGAAGATGTATAAAATCCAGCACTACATAGTTATTTAATGCACGAAATATAAATCTCACTGCATGACTAAAACACAAAACTATCTGAAGGTAGGTTGAAGTTTAGAAGTAACGCTTGACTTGGTCTATTGTACGTTCTAGGTCTAGTCCCCCGTATTATATTCTCTTCTGCTTTTTCTCACCGCATATATAAACATTAAGCGACGTCACCACTTATTATAGCAACATGTTTTACACATACTGGTATACCTTAAATCTGGACAGCGGCTGCTTAATGTACGAAATAACGAAAAGCGTTCAATACTTTTAACTCTAATAGCCTATTAATCCAGCGTTGAGTCCATGTGCTTTCACTAGAAGAGACAGGAATTTTTCACCGGCCCACCACACTGTCACGTCAATACCAACAGAACTACAATAATGCTAGGGGCATTAACTCGACATTACAGAGTGATATGCATGTTGTTTGAATGGGTTAATTGTTGAGCCTTGAAAGCGATTTAGCCGCCAGTTAAAGACCCCTATTGTCGTTCTGATAATCTCTATGTGTACAAAAGCTGTTTAATTACCCTTTGTGTCACTTACGACGAAGATAACTGTGAACAATTAGGGCATTAATTGTTCCAGTGCTATTGCGTTGGTAAAGATTACCACTGAACACGACGTTTTCGTCTCTGACATTGAAGGAAATGTTAACTACATGTTGTGAGTTTATCAAATGTAAAGATAATTAAAACAACAGTCGCTGTTCAGTTGATTGAATTATTGTTATAACAACTGTCAAGTTTATGCAAGTTTTTTTTAATCTGTAGCTTATCCCATTTATTCCTTAAAACTGACAAATATTCCACGATTATATTTCATGATTGGCGATGGAATTACTTCTTGAAAACTTATTGGTTGACTTAGTTGTGTATATAACTATTTCATATCGAAAGCAGTAATTAGGGTGGATTATTGCGAGGATAATCCCACATCATGTTAGAAATGTTATTCGGTATAGTACGCAGGGCGCGTTGTTCGAGCTGCCAGAGAACTGAACTCTCACACAGAATGCCCTGGGTTCGAATCCCGGCATGGACGAGAAGAAAGTGTGCGATTTAGCCCAGTTGTCAGTGGTGTAGGGCAGATATTAGCGTGAACGTAAAAGAATCCTTGGCAACTGGAATTCTAAGGTGTAGGCGGAAAAGCCGCTGCCCAGGCGAAAATTCCCTTATAGCACACTGCGTGGTGTAAGCCCGTCTGCATTATCCAGGTTGCTACAAAAATGTAGGACGTTAAAAACCCTATTTCATTTTCATTTTTAATCTAATGTTTCCCTTCCCAGCAGAAAATGATAACCAATCATATATAACAGTCGCCCACTGAATTAAAAATAAATATTTTCAAGCTTACAGCTATTTTAAGCGTTGAAAAATAACATTTTTCTTCTTTTACTGTGAATTAAAAAACACAGAGTTGTTTCCCCTTTAATATATACTAGCAGGATACCCGGCTTCGCTCGGGGTCATAACTCCGAAACCGGAAGTGGTAGAATAACGCCACCTGGCCTATGTTACTCCCCGGTCCGAGCTACCCCTATACCCCAAATTTCAGACTCGGGGCAGACCTAGTGTAGCCGCCAACCCCGAACAGACCTGCTTCGCACGGGGGTCATAACTCCGAAACCGGAAGTGGTAGACTAACGCCACCTGGCCTATGTTACTCCCCGGTCCGAGCTACCCCTATACCCCAAATTTCAGACTCGGGGCAGACCTAGTGTAGCCGCCAACCCCGAACAGACTAACGCCACCTGGCCTTTGTTACTCCCCGGTCCGAGCTACCCCTAAACCCCAAATTTCAGACTCGGGGCAGACCTAGTGTAGCCGCCAACCCCGAACAGACAGACAGACAAACGACAGTCACAAATATATATATAGATTTTTGTATGTGTTTCTGTTTAAATGCATTACAAAAAAAACCGCAAAAAACAATCACTGAAGGATATCATACCTAGGGTTGCAAAATTCCCTGGAATTTTCAATTTGGTGTCATAAATTGAAACATGTGTCGCTATTAATGAGTTGCAAGTGACAATAATATTTAAATAACTAAAAGATACAAAAAATATTATCTGATATGTCATATATACTAAAATCTAATAACTAATTATGAGATAGTTCTGTTAAATTATTTATACACAGGTTACACATTCTATAATTAATGCTCAAAGTTAGGTAATTCTGCCATTTCATGATTATCTTCAAAATCATTATCTACATCATCATCGGTGGATAAAAGGGAGATTTCAGGTTCAGATGAATCCTCATGAATATCTGAAATTTCTGTGCTGAAAGGATCGTTGTCAGCTTCGAAGAGTTTCAAATTAGATCTTATACAGACCAACTTTTCAACACATTCATTTGTTAATCTGTTTCTAACTTTTGTATGAGTTGTACCAAAAAGAGACCAAATGCGTTCTGATGCTGCTGATGAAGGTGGTATTGCAAGAATTAATGAAGCTATACTTGAAACAGCTTCTGATGCAAACAGTCCCTCCCACCAAGTTGATGCAGAGATATATTTTGATGATGACCAAATACTTTCTCCTTTCCACAATCCATCTTTTGACCGATATTTAGCCAAACTAGTCATTACTTTGCCTTCATTAAGTTTGTAGTGTGATGCAAGGGAACTAATGAATCCATATGCTTCATCAATTTCCATATCACCAAGAGGTAAAGAATTTCGGTAACCGTTGGGATCTAGCATATAGGCAGCGACATGAATAGGCTTAAGGCAAAATTGCTTTCTTTTCTGTAAAAATCCAAGTACGGACTTCTCTTCAGCTTTTGTAACCCTAATCATACCTATCACAAATTTGGGATGTATAAGGGAATCCTTAGAAATATGTAACCATAATAAATGAATGTAGTTAAAGTGAATTATGATTGAGGAAGTATAACCTAGATCTGTAGGTAACCCAGTCATAAAGCTATAAATATAACCCCCAAAAAACAACCACTGAAGGATATCACACCTATCAAAAATTTGGGATTTATAAGGGAATCCTTAGAAATATGTAAGTATACTATTCAAAAAAAGTAGGGGATATTTGATTTTGGGGGCATAATACTAAAATATGCAAATGACTACGAAAAAAGTCACTATAGAACCTAACAGAAGAAACATTTCCAGTTACATGTGACGCCCAAACGCACCAATAGCTACCGCATGGAATGCAGGTGATGCTTGGGATCATCATGGGGGTCCAACCCAAGATTTGCACGACTCTGACTTTGAATGTTACAGTCATTGTGGCATTGAATTCCAGGGTGGAAACATCAGTTTAATTGTTTTAGTGACCAGAAAACAAATTTTGATATGCGTCGGCTTACCCAAAATGAAAGGTTACGTGCCCTTGGCATGCTACAGATCGGCACAACACAGGCGGTTGTGGCGCGGACGATGAATGTTTCTCAGTCTGTCATAAGCAGGCTATGGTCCAGATACCGTGATACACAATCTGTACAGGACAGACCACGCTCAGGTCGACCAAGGGCGACAACTCAAGCCCAGGATCGATTTATCCGTACCTTGGCCTTGAGAAATCGTGTCATCACAGCAAATCAGATCAGCGCTCGTCTTCAAACAGACACTGGTGTGAGAGTGAGTGGCCAGACGATTCGGAATCGACTGCATAGGGGTCACCTTCGCGCCCGACGTCCTCGCGTGATCCCTTGTTTGAGAGATCATCACATTCAGGCAAGACGTCGTTGGTGTAGGGATCGTCAACACTGGGATAATCGACGCTGGAGCAATGTGATGTTTTCAGATGAGTCAAGGTTCACTGTTGATTTTTTGGACAGACGTAGGAGGGTGCGGCGTCGTCGAAACGAGCGCTTCCAAGACGTTAACGTCATCAGACATGATCGATTTGGGGGTGGTTCTGTTATGGTGTGGGGAGGCATCACTGTTGCTGGAAGAACGGCTTTACATGTTGTTGCAGGGCGTGTTACAGGCCAGTACTACCGGGACAACATCTTGGCAGTCCATGTTGTGCCGTTCGCACGACGTCATGGCCGCCGTTTCATCTTCCAGGATGACAACGCAAGATGTCACAGGGCCAGGATCGTTACAGGTTACCTCCAACAACAGAACATCACCACATTACCTTGGCCAGCACTGAGTCCCGACCTCTCCCCCATCGAGCATGTCTGGGACATGCTTGGACAGAGGTTACGTCAACGTCAACAACGTCCTGCCAATGTCCAAGAACTTGCTGCTGCGTTGCAACAGGAATGGGACAATCTGGACCAAAATGACCTTAGACGTCTCATTAGGAGTATGCCACGTCGGATCAATGCTTGTTTGGCAAACAGAGGAGGATTTACCCGTTACTGACTTGGTTGTGATGCTGTGGTAACTTTGCTGTTTGACCCCGGGTATCATTTTACCCTTATAATGGTCAGTCTGTGCCTTACTTAGTCTAACGATCATTTGGAATAAATCGATGAATGTGAACTTCATTTCATTTTGTCATTTGTTTCTTCGTCAGTTTCATTAGGTGACTTTAATAACACTTAAAAATCAAATATCCCCTACTTTTTTTGAATAGTATATAATAAATGAATGTAGTTGAAGTGAATTATGATTGAGGAAGTTTTACCTAGATCTGTAGGTATCCCGGCCATAAAGATATAACTATACAGATGTTAATGAAACTGAAATATAACCTGTGCGATTTTGTTTTTATTGTCGGACCAACATCAATAATAGTGCAGAAGCTTCTTACACTTCAACAATTCATATACACAAAAAAATCAAATTGCGGGAAGGGGCACAACTCTTACCTGACTTGGCCAATGATACGGACACAGCTCACCAAATGTTCCTACGCTATATACAAGCTATATCATAATGTGATAAGTAATGGAATGTATTATATATGTGTACATATTGTTTTATTAAATTAAATTATTGACCCCAAGAGATATAAAATAATATCTAATATCACAATTCGTTTTGTGGAGTCAAATCCCAGCAAAATGTAATACTTAAAACTTGTTCTGTCTGCCCTATGGTGGCTGATAGTGGCCATGTTAAATCTCGCCCTTTTCATAACGCGACAACACGACATCACGACAGTATTGACGCAATCATACGACACTTTATTCTGTCGTATCATCGTGTTATTTTTATCGTAACGTCGAGATGTCGACTTATTGTCCTAGTCTCTTTCTACAAGTCACAAAAATACAGCTGTACTCATTACATCATATATAGGCCTAAGTAGTAGATTTGATAAATATAAAAGAGATAGTAGGAAAACGTTGATTAATTATTTGTTTTCTCAAAATAATGAAACATTTTGTGTCCACAAGTGAATTATATTTGGTATTATATTTAAAAAATCTAGAATTACAATAGCAGGACCA